CGCTCAATCGGAACGTGCCAGGCTCGAGGCGCAGGGGCGCGGGTGGCCAGGTGCGCGAAGAGTTCGGCGAGGGAAGCAAAGGTGTCGGCGTTCGAGCAGCACGGCTCGATGATGTGTCCCCCGTGGGTAGAAGCACGCGAGATAGCAGACAAGGGGCGCGCCAACTCCTCGGGCAACTGAACCACATGATGGTAGATAGACGTCAAAGGGCAGCGTGTATGAAGTATCGCATTCAATGCATGTTCCTGGGCGATTCGCCTGGTCCGAAACATCTGTCGGCAGTAGATGCTTTGATTGGTGACTGTAATTGCATGAACCACTGATCGTATGTTGCCCCCCCTGCCCTTGAGACTCTCTAGCGCGCCAATAGAGCCCTCCTCGTAGTGAACTGTCCCCCGCAGACCTGCCCCGGCACCTCGCGGGGGGGCCCTGGGACCTGGTGGGAGTCCGCGGGCTTTTCTGGACCAGACGAGCCAGCTGGAAAAGGGGGCTAGTCGCCGCCCACAAGGGACTCGGGTCAAGCTGTAGGAAGCGATCTCCCACCTCTGGGTCGAGAAACAAGGCCCGCGCATTCGAGCGAAGCGCGTCATGAGTAGGTGGTTCGCGCACAAACAACGAACCCAGCAGGTCATCTTCCTCCGCGCGGCGTAACAACCAGATCACATCCGTCGCAGACCTCCAGGCGCGTGGGTTCGTATATTCAGCACTCGTTCCGTCCAGCGTAATCGCGGGAGTGGGCTCGACATGCAGATGACCAAACACAGCAGCAATTTCTTGGGCGTGGCGGTCGGGGCGGCGTGGCCATCGTTGATATGTGCGCAAGCGTCGCACCCTCAACTCGGTGCCATTAGGAACCGCCCCCAATCTTCTCAGAACCTCTTCGGTTGTGCTCGACGTGCATTTGAGCACAGGGCCCCCCTCCTCATCCAGCTGCGGCGCGCCATCCGATCTCAAGACTACCTTTTTGTTGGCGCGCATCTCCCCCCAGAAGCTTCTGAGAAAAGGCCGGCAAGCACGCCGTCCAAACGAGGCCTTGGGTCGGAGGGGGGAAAAAAAGAGGAGTGAGTCCAGTCAGCGAGGCCCCTTGAACAACCGCTCCGAATGCAGTTCTCGTTGACCGCCATGCTCGATTACTCGCCCAGAACTTCCCCATCGTGTAGAATCCCCTCCTGCGCGCTAGAATGCGACGACGCAGCTCGCTCTGGACTCCTCCATTGACAGACGTAGAGATCCCAAGAGACACCGAGTCGAGGTGAATATTGCCCGCCACGGGAAGGGGGCCCCCCAAGAGCGCCTTGGAGCGCCCGTGAGCCCCTGGCCCCACAAGTACAGGAGAAACTTGACTTGTCTCGGCGTTGTGCTCGCAGCCGCCAGGAGCCAAACACTCTCGCCGCCTCTGGTGAGAAATGCCCAGCACGTGCTGCCCGTTCCGTGCCGAGGACGCCACGTGCGCCATACTTGTGTCATCGGCATACACGCGACAGGCAAGCGACGCAGGCCTCTGCAGGAAGGGCGCCCACGCTGCACAGATGTCCTCGGGCGGCCACGCATTCTCGCCAAGGTTGGAAGAGGAGCAGGGTGGGGCAAGAGGGTTGGATATCCACTCGTCGTACGCCTGAGGGCGAGGAGGAGGGCGGCGGTCTCTGATCTCCGGCGTCGGTGAAGTCCGTGCCGCGCCCTGAAGAGCTTCAAAAGCAGAGCAGCCAAACGCGTTCGACACGTCCTCCCCGGACACCAGACATGACAGCCCTTGCTTCCGAAGTCACCAGGACAGCGCCTCTTGGGTCAACGGAGCCCCTGCTCGGCTACGGCCTGGAAGGTATCCACGCCCCCTATCAGGAGGCACATCCTGGGGTCCCCTGAGGAGCAGATTCTTGCACCGGGCCACCCCGATACGACACAGCCCGTGGATGCCGACGCGCTGGAGACCAGTCTTCCCGTTGGCCTTGCTGAGCCCCGCGGCCCTCGAGCGATGCCAGACCACTGGGCCCTTCTCAACCCGCCGGATTTGATGGGGCACCTGTTGGAGGCGCGTCAAAGAGACCTCGTTGGAGAATACCTCTGCAGCAGCTCCCAGACCCTGACGATCACGCCCGAGACGATGTCGCTGGGCCAAGCGAGGCCCTTCTTGTCGCTGCCGTGGAGATCCGCCGCCGTCGTCGCGTGCTGCATCTGGTCGCCGTCGTCGGTGCGAGCCGTCGAATCTCCTGACAAGGTCGTTTGCCAGCTGCAGTATTTCTGACGGCACACTGTGAAGCGGAGCGGCTTTCCGTCTCGGTGCCTTGGCAAGAACCTCTCGCACTCCTTCCAGATCCTCCCTCGCGTCCTCCACCGACGCAAAGTTGTTAGCACCGAAAGGTGGAGGTGGCGGCAAGTGCTGCAAGCACTCGCGCTGTAAGGTAGGAAAATCAATCGGCACCGCTTGAAAGCCACCCGCAGGACCAGCTTTCGATAAATATTCACATGCTTCGTCGTTCCGTGGTGCGTATTCGTCAGATATGTTGAATCGTCGTCGTCTTGGTCCTCTGCACTGGCCAGCGATAAGGTGAGCGAGCCTCCACACTTCGGCATGCCTTCTGGCGCTCCACGCCTGTTGCAACTCACTGACCAACTGCTCCGTGACCTCGTGAAACCGAGTTTGCCGCAGTCGGCGTAAGAGGCGAGAAAAGCGGGAGAGCTGCACGCATGACTCGGCGTCGTCGCCCCCCCGCCGTCGCTGCTGCCTGCGCAGAGCCAGGAAACGCCGTCGCTCTGTAGCATAGCGAGCTGCCTTGTCGTCCTTTTGTGGCGGTTCTGGAACAGTGCCGAGCAGTGACAACATGAACCGTCTTGATCCACGTTTCCCAGCACTGGTCCGGCGCTCGGGCGGTCAAAAGATCCTCGTTCGGGTCGGGGCTCTCTGAAGAAAAAACATATCCAATCCTGAAATAAAACCACTGACGCCCTTTCCACTCTGTTATGCTTGAGCCAGTCGGTCGAAGGTCCACCTGACCCCTTCGGGGCGACTGTCGGTGAAGTCAAACGAGTATTGGACTCTCATAAGGATGGGCAGGATGGGTACGTGGTCCTGCAGACGTTTCTTGGCGAACAACTTCAAACCAATATTCGCGCGTCTCAATCCTGAACATCGTGCAACACTGCGGCGCTGCCACGCGTAGGTCGCTACATAGTCGATCGACGACGAACTCACATGCCCAAAATACGTGTCGCCCACGGGGAAGCCCATTGAATTCACACGGATCGCATGTCTTTCCAGTAGCTCCTGCACACGGTCCGAACGGTACCCGTGTCTCAGCGCATAATGATGAGCGAGAGTCGACACGGCGCACATCTCCTCTCCTCCCCGCTCTCTCGTTCCACTCAAATATACCAGAACAACATGTCTAAACTGCCCAGAGATATCCTGCAACCGCAACTCATCTGAAGCCAACATGCAGTTCCAATGCACAAACGTCACGTCGCCGACTGTCCCTCCTGCCTGTGTGCTCTCGTCGCCAGTCATCGTTTGGCCACACCCACACACCCACAGTCGGACTCACTGCAAACGAGAGCGAAAGCAAATCATCAACATATGGCACGAATTGCTGTGGGGGCCTGCAGCCCGTCAAGGCTCAGTATCAGAAGTGTGTTGGCACTCCTGCGCCAGGTCGACAACCGCCTGAGCAGGGGGGGCAAGGAGGAGGAGGAGGAGGAGGAGGAGGAGGAGGGTGAGAGGGAGAATCAGGATGAGGAGGAGGATAATGAGGAGGAGGAGGAGGATAATGAGGAGGAGGAGGGGGACAATGAGGAGGGGGAGGACGAGGAGGAGGCCGAGGGCTCTCTGGGACCCTTTGCGGGGGCCTCTCTCCTCCGGGGGCCTCCCGGGGCCTGGCGGACGGGCCCAAAGGGCGCATCGAGGCGGTGGGCGGCCGGAGGCGGAGGGAGCGGTGCTCGAGGATCCAGGGGTCCTGGTTCAAGGATCGAGGATCCTGGTTCCCAAAGGTCCAACGCATTGAGAAAATCAAGATGGGAGATTTTTCGCCAAGTTCGGCCCCCAAGGGCCCTCGCCGTGCCCCGGGACCGTCAAGAAACGACTCAGGATGAAAAGCCAGTCCTGGGGAAGGGGTCGAGACTTCTGGGGACCCCACGCTGAACAAATCACGACATCAGATCTCAGGGTTCGAGGGTCTGGTTCGAGAATCGAAAGCTGGTTCGAGGTTCGAGGTTCGGGGGCCCAGGTTGGGGGGCGTCTTGGGACCTGCTTGGGCGCCATCGTCGCGCTCGCTGCCTGGCATAGCTTGTGGCATATCAAGCGCAAGAGCAGTGGCTGGCAGACGGATATGCGCAACATGTCAAAGAAGAAACTGCAACATCAAGAACATGATCAAAGAGATGCCACTCGTATGACGATATAATGTGCACATGGAAACGAGACGTGCGACACCCTCTGGACGGGGGACGAACTTCTACATCGTTCCAAGGCCCTTACGCCCGTGCAGTGAACGATGAACATGATGACTAACTTGACGGCGATCTTTCTGTCAGTCGGTTGGCATACCTAGCTGCGCGATGGGTTCTCAAACCCATGCCCGCGCGGCAGGGGAGTGAAAAAAGGACGCCGAAAGGTATCGGTGCGCATGTAGTCTGGAAATGTGAGGATCATGCCTGCTGGTAAGAACAAGGCCGACGCGGGCCTGTGCGATTCTCAATTCTGGTAAGGACGTCGTGATCCCGACGCACTGGTTTCCAAACAAGAAACACAGCCACAATACCCCCCTCACGTGGCCACACAGACATCAAGGGCATGGACAACAGAATCTTCGACCTGCGTCTCACCACACAGCCGGAAACACCTTCACTTCAAGCATTATCAGCTAGAAGGCAGGAAGACCAAGGGCAAGACGAGAATGACGCATTGGAGCACATGGGCGCGCGCAGGCATGCTACACGCAGCAGTGGCTGCGGAGAAAAATCACGACCTAGGTAAATCAAGAAGGCGTTTCCCATCAGGGAGCTGGCAACTACGCCGAGTCAGGGTTCGACGTTCGCACCAGAATCAAGTGGCATTGACTATGGACGTTGGGGCCTTGTGGCGGCTGTTTTTTTCTCTGGCAGAAACGTGCACGAGGGCATCATGATCCCATGTGAACTGCCCTCCGTGCTCCAAAATCTGATTAATGCTGCTCTTCCTTGCTTTCACCCGCCTCCTCCACCCTTACCTCCCCATCCTCTTCTCGCACCCCTCTGGCAATATGTTGCGCCTGAAGGCAACGCTGGCCGAGTGATTCCACTCTCGAGGTTTCTCTGCTCATCCTGATTGGGAGGCCTGTGCGGCTCCTCTGGTCATGCACGGTCACGCCTGACACGAGTCGCTGCTTTTGCTCCACGTGACTCTTAGGCATGTGCACAGACGGAGAACGGCATTCTCATATGCGGGAGCAGTTGCAGGAACATTGTGTTTCTCAGCAGCGGGATGACCGCGGGTTGTTACACAGCATGTCATTCCCTTCACCACTTTTGCCCATTGGGCGGCGCCGATGGGCGACTCCATGCATGCCAAGCGGCTGTTTATGACCGGGGCGACTTGAACTGCTCGCGGAGTGCTGATTTTCGTCCGCACAGACGTAGCGTGTGGTCGACACTCCCCGAACGCACCCAGTGTGGCCAGACTGGACTGTTGTTGGGCTCTCCGGTCATGTTGTTCCCGTGCGCCAGGCCCGCTGCTCTCGGATCCCGGGAGCAGAAAAAGCTGCAGAGGCACAAATTTTCGGAGGTCCGCGCGGATCCTTTGGATCGGCGCTAGTCCCTTCTGCCTGGCGCGCGGAGCGCGCCAGGGTTAGGTCGGGCATGTCTCCCTACAGAGGCGGACCTTGGGCGAAAAATGACACGTACTCAAAAAATACCCCCAAATTGTCAAAAAATACAACCAAATACCCCCAACAAATCGTCCCCATACTATTTTGTCAGAGTGAGGGGTCCGAACGGTCATTCACTGTCCCGGGGTGCGTGGCTGAAGTGGAATTCCGCGGTGCGGATTATCGTTGTTGTTGTTGTTGGTGTTGTTGTTGTGATTGTTGTTGTTGTTGTTGTTGTTGTTGTTGTTGTTTGTTGTTGTTGTTGTTGTTGTTGTTGTTGTTGTTGTTGTTGTTGTTGTTGTTGTTGTTGTTTGTTGTTTGTTGTTGTCGTCGTCCCACCCGCAACCCGCCCCGCGACACACCCGCGACCCACCCCGCGACCCACCCCGCGACCCACCCGCGACCCACCCGCGACCCACCCGCGACCCACCCCGCGACCCACCCCGCGACCCACCCCGCGACTCACCCCGCGACCCAGCCCGCGGCCCACCCCGCGACCTGCCCGCGGCCCACCCCGTTACCCACCCGCGACTCACCCGCGACCCACCCGCGACCCACCCGCGACTCACCCGCGACCTGCCCCGCGACCCACCCGCGACCCAAACCGCGTTCAAGGTACAAACCACCATTTTCGGCGCCTGCGGCGAATTTTGTTTTGCATTCCCTCCAGGTGGAGAGCCCGCGACACACCCCGTGACCAACTCGCGACCAACCCGCGACCCAAACCACGTTCAGATTCAAACCACATTTTTCGGCGCCTGCGGCGGGCATCCTTTGCATCCGTTTCAGGTGGAGAGCCCGCGGCACACCCGCGACCACGTTCAGGGTACAAACCACATTGTTCGGCGCCTGCGGCGGGCATCTTTTGCATTCGTTCCCGGTGGAGAACCCGCGGCCCACCCGCGACCCAAACCACGTTCAGTGTACAAACCAATTTTTTGGGCGCCTGCGGCGGGCTGCTTTTGCATTCCTTCCAGGTGGACGTGGAGAGCCCGCGACCCACCTGCGACCTAAACCACGTTCACTGAACAAACCAATGCCGCACAAGCGCGGCGGCGGATTTTTGCTGAGCCCGCAAGGACCTCTTCAATGTTGTTCGGCATTGTACCCAAAGAACCGTCCCCCACTACGGGCGTGCAACAAGGTGGCACGTACCCAGCAGTGGTGGCCGACATGAAAAAGCCACCGTCGATGGACGCCGACACGCACTGGCTCGCTTGCTACGTCATGCTGTCGCGGCCCGTCTCCGTGGAAGGCTTACTCATCTTGCGCCCAGCCACGAGGCGGGAATTGTCCCGACCGCCTCCGAAATTCATCCTCGACGAAATTACCCGCCTTGCTGACATGGAGACGGCGTCGCTGGACGAATTGATTCAGATCCTGCAAGATCTGAAGGGGGAACCGCTCCCGCCTGAGATCTTGGATTCAGTTCTTGCTCAGGACGGCGCCGCCCGGCAGTCCGCCGAGGTAGCCGAATATCGGAGAGCCGGGCCAGCGCTCCGCACAGTTTCTCGGCGCACGCGCGGCAAAACGACGCCACCTGCGCCCCTGTCGAGAGTTGGAGACACGGCGGGCGTGGGCGAGGATGCTGCAGTGCAGGCGACGCCACCGTCCTCGGCGCCCCCGCTGAAGAAGCCGCGGCTGCCAAACATGGAGACGGCGCGCGCGTCGACGCCGCCCACGGTGAACGCCTCCGAGTCGGAAAGAGCAATCTGTGCGGCCGTTGGCCGCCAGTGCGCCGCAGGCGCGGGCGCGGCCCCCGCGGGGAGCACGGGCCCGCAGCCGCCCCAAGCGGCACAGCGCACCGCTGCAGCGCAGCGGAGGACGGCCCCGCTGGGAGAGCAGAGCGCCACAGCGTGCAAGCCAGACGCACACGCGGCAAGCAGCCCAAACAGTGCCGCTAACGCGAGGGAAGGTGCCGCAGATAACGACGACAACGGGAAGCGCAAGGCTGCCAGGCATTCATCCCCCCCGCGAGCGCCCTGCTCCGAGTGCGGAGAGGCTGGATGCACGCCACATTCCCCCACGTGCGCCTTCTTCTTGATCGCGCCACAGTGCGAGGCTACCTCCACTTTGCCGTGGGCTCGCGGGACCCCGTGTCCGGTATCGACGAACTTGCGCAACTACTGCGCGAAGTTCACGCGGCACGTAGCCACGGGACCCTTCGAAGTGGAAAGTGTGGAATACGGAGCTGGCGGAGATTGCCTCTACCACAGTGTCGCGGGCGTCCTCGCTCGCATGGTGCTCCACGGAGGTGGGCCGGCACGACACATTTTAAAGAGCATCCCATCCGCAGTGTTCTTCCAGGGCTCCAACGCCACAATGCAGCACTTGCGGGCCATCTCCGCCTCGATATACAGCCAGTGGGCCCCCGAGCAGGTGCTCGACTTCGTGGTCGCTGCAGCCATGCAACAGCGCAGCAACGCCCATCTCAACGAGTGGGACCCTGCAGCGTTGCTGTCCGACTTCTGCTTCGAATGCCTTTTGCACGCTGAAAGCGTCCTGGCGTTTGAAGAGCAAAATGATGGCGACGCGCTCGTTCGCATCGCGTACACCCAGGCGCACTCTGGAGCAGGCGCCAGAGAAGAGCGCATTACGAGAATACCTGGCGGAGTCGCCAACCTAGCCCAGGTTCGAGCCAGACTCTCCCACTTCATGCGTCAGCCAGGCAACGTTCATTGGGGTACTCAAACTGACGTGCGCAGTCTAAGCGACCGCTTGGATGTGGGAATCTTACTCTTTCAGGATCGCCTACGTGAACGTGCCCGCACCTGCCTCTACAATGTGGGCGGCCAGCGAGCAGATTACCCATACTGGATCGCTTTATGGTGGGAGGAGCCGATCCATTTCCGTGGCGCGCAGCTGCGCCCACGCCCCCCAGAGTCAGACGCGCACAACAGCAACCGCCCGGACGCAACGTCCTTTTGGTCTACTGCCGATCTTCCAGCATTCCTTCGACAAGAATTCGCCGAGTGCAACCGTCTGGCGGATTGACTGACCTGATGCGGGCGGATTGACTGACCTGATGCGGGCGGATTGACTGACCCAATGCCCAGTCCATGTTTCACACCAGGCTGCTGCGACTTGCGTATCGTTCGATATGCGCCAGAGAAAGACCCCAAGAAGCTTCGAAAAAACTAAAAAAAACACCCAGATGGCCCCAGAACGGCCCCCAAGAGTCCCGAAAGAACCCCAAGAGGCTCCAAAACGACCTCCACGAGGTTTGTGTTATCTCGAAGGGGCATACAAACAACATCTCCCGTCTTGGACTTCTCTTGGGGTCCTCTTGGGCCATCTTGGACCGATTTGAGCCGTCTTACGGCTCTCTCGAGCAACGACGGTCCACGTGCGACGACGACGACGACGAACGACGAACGATGACGCACGGCTGCAACGACGACGACGACGCCGACGGACGACGAACGGCGAACGACGAAAACGACGACGCCCAACGACGACGACGACGACGACGACGACGACGACGACGACGACACTGACGACGACGATATCGAACGTCGAACGACGATAATGACGACGAACGATTAACGACAACGACGAAACGTCGGACGACGACAACGACATCTCCGACGGACGACGACAACGACGAACGATGAACGAGAAAAGACGAACGACGACGACAGAGAAGGGCGACAACTACGACGACGACAACGATGACGACAACGACGACGCCCGTCTTGAAGTTTCTTGGAGGTTCTCAACGTGACGTTCCCTGGCAAGCCCTGTAGACAAAGTGGCGCTTCCCGTTCTTGTCCGGTCAGGTTTTTGCTGAGCCCGCAAGGACCTCTTCAAGCCCCGCGCATCCACACCGGCCCGTCCAGCAACTCTGCCCTGGCGAGTTGCCTTGATCAGAGAAGGCGGGGAGCATAAAGTGGAAAAAAGGATTGCGTTGCAGTTATCTTGGGAAAGGAGGGGGAGGCAGGAGGAGTAAACAGGGGACGAGGAGAACGCGGAAGAAGAGAGGATGTAAGGAGAACGTGGAGAAAGAAAAGGAGGAGGAGCAGGAGGACGACGAGGGGGAGGAGGGGGAGAGGGGGAGGAGGAGGACGAGGAGGGGGAGGGGGAGGATGATGATGATGGACGACAATGGGAGGACGATGATGGAGGCCGATGAGGGGGAGGACGACAATGGGAGGACGATGATGAAAGGACGAGGGGGGGAGAGGGAGGACGAGGAAGAAGAGGAGGACGAGGTGGAGGAGGATGATGACGATGAGGACGAGGACGAGGACGAGGAAGAGGAGGAGGAGGAGGAGGAGGAGGAGGAGGAGGAGGAGGAGGAGGAGGAGGAGAGCGCCATCGACAAGGAAGGTGGGGCCACGAGGTCCGCCGGCTCGACGACGCCCGCGTCGCCCGCGCCCGCCCCCTCACTCTTATCCACAATTGCGGGGTGCTACGTAAACTACTTTTGAACGTTCCCCCTCTAGAGGGACAGGCCCGACTTAACGCCGCCCCCTTCCGCCTGGCGCGCGGAGCGCGCCAGAGGCGGTGCCAGCGGCGTCGAAACGGGGGTCCAGCGCAGATCTGACTACCTACCAAACCACCCCAACCCAACCCGAACACCCGAATTTGACTCGAATTTCGGGTTTGGGGGGGGGTACGGGTTCCATATGTTTTTTCAATGTTCCCCGACCCCCCCGCCCACTGGAAATGGAGGGCCAACTGAGTGGGGGTTGTGTCGGGGTGGTTTGGTGGGTGGTGACCTTCTGCCTGGCTCGCGGAGCGCGCCAGGGGGCGGTGCCAGCGGCGTCGAGAACGGGGATCCAGCGAAGCTCCGAGACACGCGCGTGGAACTCCGAATGCCTACACGGTCGGGATAAAGTCGGCTTATAGCGATTCGCCGCAGCAGCCCACGGCGACACGCTACGCTTAAGTCGGGCCTGTCCTGCGACAGGGGATTGTGGACACAAAATTAAAAACAGTCAAACAGATTTAACAAATATTCAAAAATAGGAAAAAGTCGTCCGCGTAATATTTTTGACTATTTTTAAATTATCCTCCTGTGGAGGGACAAGCCCGACTTACGGGTAGCGAGTCTCTCCGCTCTGGGGAGCGGGGAGATGGGAAAGCCTCGGGACGTTAAGCCACAGCTCCCGACAGCTTGCCGCTTACAGCCAAAGCCGATGGTGAGGACGCACGGTATAATGATGCAAGGCCATTATGCGCCCCTGGACGTGGAAAAAATGGCCAAGGATATTGGCCGACGAGGCAGGGATGCCAGGGCACACCTGTGCTGACGTGCTGCTTCCTCTCTGTGGGTTGTGACCGCCCCATTTCTCTTCTCGGTCGTTGCTGGGAAAAAACCAGAGAAGACACCGATACCGCTATACTCCCCGGACCTCACCCGGGGCGCGCTCTGACCAGGACTTCGAGGCGAACCCAGCGGCGACGACGAAGGCCTCCGAGGAGGCCGAACAATGGAGGCTGGGGGGTGAGATCGCAATGGAACGGAGACCTGGTGTCCCGTGGTGTTCCGTGGTGTCCCGTGGTGTCCCGTGGAGTGAGATCGACAGTGAGATCGATGGAGTCAGATGTTGGTTCCCCCCCTCTCCCCCATCCCCCCCCGACCTCCTTATCACCCTAAGGGTGGTCATATAGGCAGCGGCATCGAAATCTTTGCCTCCTCCGAGGTGCGTCGAGCCCTCCGGGCCACGGCCAGGGCGCCCGCCGCTCGGCTGCCTGTGTGGGCGGTGCTTCGCCGCGCTCGTGCGCGGTGTCGGCGCCCCCCCCCCCACGGGGCCGCAGGGGCGCCGCCGCTCGGCTGCGGCGGGCTGGGCATGGGCGCGGGGTCGCACCTCCTGGAGCGGCCAGCACGCCTCAGCTCCTCCGGCAGCCTCGTCGTCGTCGTCGACGTCGTCGTCGTCGTCGTCGTCGGTCGTCGTCGTCGTCGGTCGTCGTCGGTCGTCGTCGTCTCCTTCATCCCTCCTCCCTGCTCCCTGCTCCCTGCTCCCTCCTCCGCCACTCGAGCGATGGGTCGAGACTCGAGACGTCCTCCGCTCGGCGTTTGACCCGCGTGCGTCTTGCGACGTCCTGGCTTGCAGTGGCTTGACCTCCCCTGAGACCCGACGCCGTGATTTTTCCATGCGGGCTCCCCGAAGTCTCGACCCCTTCCCCAGGACCGGTGTTTTTCATCCTGAGCCGATGCTTGACGGCCCCGAGGTCCGGCGAGGGCCCCTCGGAGCCGAACTCTGCGAAAAACCTCCGTCTGGATTTTGTTCGATACGTTGGATCTCTGGGCCCTGGGCACTGACCAGCCAGGGAAGCCGTGGGCACATCCTGGACCGCATCCTGCTGATGGCCCTCCCCTACGGGGCCCCGCGGCACGAGCCTGTCCGGAGGCCCAGGCCTCGCGGCCCCAGGCGTCCGACGTGATGTTTTTTTTGCGTGTCGATCCGCTATAGCCCAGAGCTCCCGACCCCCTTCCCCCCGGGATGTTGTTCCGTCCCGAGTCCGTTCTTGATGTCCCCCGGGCCCGATATCGACGGGCCCCAGTGCCGAAATCGAGCAACCTCCGCCGCTTGAAAATACGCGTAGCAAAGTCGGAAAACTGGTGGGCCGAGGCAGCTCGGGAGGGGGGTCCGGGAGGGGGGCGGCCAAAAGGGCGATTCGCAGATCGTGGCCCAAGGCATGTACGCCGACGAGAGCGGGTCTAAGTAGGGACGTCTTGAAAGAAGACGAACGGGCCCCGTGACGCCAGGGAACTTTTGCCTGGCCTAGCGTGTCGACGCGGCGGCCCCAGCGACACGGCATGCGGCATGCCCTGCAAGCGGATAGCGTGTCGCTCAGCTCCGCGGGGCGGGAGGCCCGGAGAGGCACGGGACGCTAAAGCCTCGGAACTGAGAATGCATACTGGGCGTGTCGCGCCGAAGCGTGGTGGGCCGGAACCGGCAGAGCGGCACGCTGCCCAGAAGTTCCCGCCCGTATCTTCGGAACTCTGGGAGCAAGGAAACGCAGGCTGTCCATCCATCTTTCCCGTGGCGCTAGGGGTCTGCGTGCTCGTCCTTCTACTCCCGAGCACACGCGAGGCTGGGGCGGCCTGGTAAGGCTCGCCGGCGAGCACCGCCTGCGGAGCCTCCTCCAGGCGCGCGAAGGCGAGGGGGCCTGATCGTTGTCGTCGCCGTCGTCGTCGTCGTCGACTCCCCGGTGCAGGCCCCTGTAGACTGCACGGCGAACAGAAGGGGGCCTTACGCGCGATGGCATCGCGACCTCACGCGGCGGCTCACGCGGGCCGCCCGCGGCACGGCGGGGGTGGAAACGAGGGTGCGCACGCGTGACCTCACAGGGGAAACCAAGGTGTGCGCATACCGCTACTCCCCGGACCTCTCCCGGGGAGCCTTCGGAGACGAGGGTTTCGAGGCGAACCCAGCTGTGGCGACAAGGGCTTCCCCACGGAGGCCCAAGGATAAGGGGAGAACGAGGGGAGGGCAGCGGTAGGGGCACCTTTCCCCGAGGTCCGATGTCGTGATTTTATCGATGCGGGGCCCCCAGAAGTCTCGACCCGTTCCCCGAGGCCCGCCGAGGGCCCCTACAGGGGCCGAACCTTGCGAAAGGCCTGCTTTGTGTCAATGCGCTGGCTCTCTGGGCTCCCTCCTCTGGCGCGCACGCGGGCGTCTCACGCGCGAAGGTCGGCGCAGCCGACCCTGCCTTCTTCCGCCGCCCGCTGCTCCCGAGGACGCCCGCGGGAGAGGCGCCTCGCCGATCCTGGCCGTGCCCGCGTGCCCGTGCCTGGGCCTCGGACATCGGTGGGTGCTGGAGGCCGCCGCCGGGGCTCTCACGGGCCGTCTTGATCTGGAGCGTCGGAAGAGCTCGAGACGGCGAAGACTTCCCAGACATGATCGCGTCGCAGAAAAAATCGGGGCGGGAGGGTCTTCGCTATGTTCGGCCCCCTCGCCGAGCCCCGGGACCATCAAAAAACGATTCAGGATTCAGGATGAAAAACCGGCCCCGGGGAAAGGGTCTGGACTTCCAGGGGCGCCGCCCTGAAAAAACAAGGACGTCGCATGTCCGGGTTCAAAACATAGGGAAATGATGGGGGCCTCTTAGTCAGTTTTGGGTTCCCGGAGAATCGGCCAGGGGGGGGTGGGGCCAAATCCTCTCAAAATCGGTCCCCGCCCCACCCGGGGTGTCTTCTGGTGCGGCTTGTCACCCCGGATCCGTCTCTCTGACGGCCCCGGGGCTCGAAAGAGGCCCAACACTTTCTCGACCCCCTGCCCCCCCCCCCCTTCCTGGTCGCTTCCGTACCAGTGCTGGGCCACCTCGGGCCCCCAGCCGACTCCAGCGTGTATATGCGCCCTCGGTCTGGCCCTGTCAGCTGAAGCCCTATAGGGCCCCGATGTTGCCACTGGGGGGCTGCCAGTGGCCCAAGAAGACTCCGAGAGGGGCCGGGGGGGGCCCAGGAGGGCTCACTGGGCCCCCCGAGGCCGCGCTCATAGCGGCGGAGAGAAAGGCCCGCATCGGGCTCGGCCAGGACCGGAGAGGTGGACTGCAAGCGCCGAGCGCGAACCAGGCTGCATTCTTGTTCGCACTGGGCGTGTTCGCTTGCTTTCGTGCCCCGGGACCCTCACAGATCGATGCGGCTCAGAACCTGGCGCAGAAAGATGGGGTCTCGAGCTCCGAGTGTGATTTTTCGCGCCGTCGGATCTGAGGGGCCCTGTTGCCCCCTGCCCCCCACCCTGTGGCTGCTGCTGCTGCTGCTGCTGCTGCTGCTGCTGCTGCTGCTGCTGCTGCTGCTGCTGCTTGTCGTGACCCAGGAGCCCGGGTCTCTGACGCTCCAGAGGTCCACGCTCGCCGAGGGCGCCCGCCCCGAAACGTTGCTCTGCCGCGGCACCACCGGGGGCGCGGCGCAGAAGAGTCTGCGTCGGGGTGTAGCACGACGACCGAGCACACACACAGAGACAGAGCGAGGGAGGGGGGGGGGGGGCGGCCGCGAAGAGGCGAGGGCGGGCGGGCGGCGTTCTCAGACCGCGAAGGTCGCAGGAGCAGGCCCCCGAGGAACACGGGCTCTGCCCAGCAGACGTGGAGGGCCGCGACGGGCCGCAGACGCTCCACCACGGGCGCCCCCCTGGCGGGGAGTCCCTGCTACCGCGGCTCGCGCCCTCGCTGCGGAAGTGCTGGCTCGGGGTGGCGCGGAGGGCGGCCACCGCGGCAGGGGCCGGGGAGCGCCAGGACGTCCTCCCTCCCCCCGCCTGCCAGCATGGCCGCGCGCCAGGGGCGGGGTGCAGGAGAGCCTCCCCCGCCCCGCCCGCCCGTGTGGCTGGAAAGGCGGCGCGCGAGCGGGGCCTGGAAGCAGCGCATCTGCCCACCTGCAGGGCACGGCGGCGCCTGCTCTGAGATCCGACGGCGCGGGGCAGCGCGGCAGGGCAGGGGGGCGGTCGCGGCGGCGAGGCGGTGGCCGCCTGCCTCGGCCCGGGGGGGCGGCGGTCGTGGCTCGAAGCGGTGGCCTGGCAACTTTCGCGCCCATGGCGCACCGCCCGCGCCCCGCCTCGCCCGGCGCCTGCGGGCCCTCCGCCCGGCGCAACTCCCGCGCACGCTTCAACTTGCAGCGCTTGATCCCCCGAGCCCGATAGGGCACGCGCGAGTGTGCCAGAAGGGGCGTCGCCGCCATGCGCCTCGTCATCTCCGTGCGGCCCTGGTCGTTTCCTGGGGCTTGGGGCATCGATCGATTCATGGGCTGTGGCAGCTCATGGGGGCCTCCCACTTGCCATCGCTCGGACGTCCATTCCACGTGCATTGTTCGACTTCGTGCGTTTATTTTATCGCCACATGATCCCAGATGTTCCTCGATGGCCCTCGGCAAAAAAATGCACACGTCCAAGCGATGCCAAGCCCATGCCGTCTTGCTGGCTCTTGAGGATCGGCGCTGGCCGACGCGAACCAACGCATATCGACGCTAGGCAACGCTAGATCGGCGCGTTTGCTCATCGACTACCAGGCGCCAGCGGAGGCGAATGCACTCCAAGGATGGAAATGCGAGGACATACAAGGCTCTCAAGAGCGGCTACCAGGATGAATGTGGGCGTTTTGGCATGCTTTGGAACCGTCGGGGGCCTCCAGAGAGGCCCCCGTGTAGCCTCGGGAGTTCGGGATCCGTGGGGGGCACTCGGAATCGCCGGGCTGACCCGGCAGATCCTCTCCTGCTGGGAGGGCCCTGCCGCGGTCGACGCTCGCCTAGGGGCTGCGAGCAGCATGGCCCCGTCAGCCAGGGGAGGTGGCCCAAACTGCTGGGTCGAGACGGAGAAAACAATGAAAGGGCCGACGCACACCAAGAGTCCAGGGTGTACGCGGCTCGACCACGTCTGGCGACTGTGTCTGCTCATCCTGATGCCCGTGCTCCGTCTGACCGATCAGGTCGGTTCCTTTCGACGGCGGCGAGGCCATCGGGTACCACATCGAAACATATATGCGACACGGGTGGACGTCTCACGTAGCCGCCGTATCCAGTCTCACAAACACAAGAGGGAGGGAGACACCAGCCCAGCCCGTCGCGGCAGTAGCCGCTAGCCCTGAAGGATTGTATGCAAAAAAGTAAGCGAGAGCAGGCAATGACACAATAATCCAAATCGTCGGTTCTAGAATACCTGAACCCAAAACCTATAATGTATCACTAAATTTCCGCCGCCATCCGCCGAACTTCCGCTAGTTTGTGCTGGCTCCGACCCGCCGAGAGCGAGACGCACCGACAGCGAAGCCCGTTCTTGAACGCCCCGACGCATGGCGAGGCACGCGTCCGCATGACCACTCGCGGGGGTTGGCAGGATCAGCCGGTCATACTCTTGGATATCCCTTCCAGGCTCCCACGCGACTGGGGACAAGCCCAGTACAGTGGGCGCCCTGATAACTTACATTGCGCCCGCACTCAAAAAAGACGATTCGGTCCCCTGCGCGAGGGTGACCCCGAAATCCTCGTCCGTCGACCGTGGTTTATTTTCTAAGAGTGGAAACCCTGGTTCGTTATGTTCAGGTGATACCCCCATTGGATTACTGGCCTGTGGATGGATCGGTTTTCCCCCCTTCGCCGGATCATCTTCATTCCGGGATAACGCACCTGATGTCGATATTCCGACATGATAAACCAATGTTAATCCCAGCCCAGTCTCCTTCTCAGGCCTCCCCCCCTCCGCCGACTCATTCTCATTCTAGAATAATGAACCTGAGTTCATTATTCCCAGAAGATTACGACCCCCAGTTTATGATGTTCTAGAGATAACGGACTAGGGTCAATATTCTAACATACCGAATCCCAATTTGGGGGCGCGGGGTTGGACAACAATACTGAGAATCCTTCCGGAATCATGAATCCGGATTCAGAATATCCGCGTATGGCTCAGGCTTCGCCCCTCAGACTCCATCATTATCATTCCATTAGGAAGCAACTACTGGGAGGTTTTCGTCGGAAATATAAAAAATAAGCCCCATCTGGGAGCTGTTATGCCGGAAAGGATCTCGGATTAAGCAAGAATATGCCGGATTAAGCGGGATGAAACGAGATTGAGGCGAATTAAGCAGGATTCAGCTGGATTAAACCAGATTTTCGGACCAGGGCAAAAACAGAAATTGACCTTCCAGGAATTGCATCCGAAATTCCAGATTAATAAACTGGGGTTCAATATTTCCCAGACATTATTCACCCCAGTCAATATTCCCAGAACATTATGAACCCAGGTTGATATCTTTTTGGGGCCGATATGCCCTGAACATTATGAACCAAAGATTATAACGTTCCTGGGCGAACATTATTATATGAACCCCAATCAAGAGGTCCCGGATCGTATAAAAGACAAATTCGTCATGTTCCGGGGGGGACATCATGAACTCTGGTCAATAATCCCGGAACTTTAGAAACCCAGGTTAATATCTGTTTGGGGTTCGTCCTGCCCTCCGCCGCCTTCCCCCTCTGCGTCCGCCCCCGTTCTTGCCCTCAATCTCATCATACTCATCATCACCTTCGCCCCCATTACCCTCCTCTCCTTATCCTGATGGTCATTCTGATCCTCAAAACCATTCGTGCCACATCCCATGTGATAAGCAGCGGCCTGTGTCGGCATGATACTCGGCAGAATTCGGGATGGCCATTGTCTTCTCGCCGGCGGAGATGGTGGCAAAGTGCTCGATGAGCGCAGTCGGGAGCATACTCCTAAGAAGGCACGAAGGGCTATGTGAGGGAGAACCGTGACAGCGAGACATGCCCAAGCTCGAAGACGCTCTGGAAGACCGGAGCTGCCCAATGCCACCGCAAACCAAAGCATGCACCCACGAGGCTCGACAAACAAATAGGACGCCTCGCTGGAGCCCCCCCCTGAAACTCAACCCATGCAGACTGCAGCCGAGGATGGCCGAGCACCCCGAGAAGTACCGACGTGTCCGCCTGCCTGGGCCCCCTGGACTGTGGTGGGCTACTGCTGCAGAGCGCCCTATGGCCCTAGCTAGCTCGGGGGGAACACACAAGCTATGCCCAGCTCGTCGGCCGTGGCGCGCAGCAGATGAATAGACGTGGGAAAGTGCACGGCTGCCGACTCGTACTGAACTTCCCACGACGGGATAGTCCGATGCGTGCAATCTTGACGGGGGCACCAGAGGCAGTGCCGGAACATGCCTGCGGTCAGGATCTTTAGTTAGCGTGTCGCGGCGACGGCCCGGTCGACATGCTACAGGCCGAGCACGCTGGTAGCGTGTCGATCTGCATCGTGGAAGGCAGGCTCGGGAAGTTGACGCCGTGGAAGTGGGACGGGCGTGGCGTGTCACGCCAAAGAGGTGGGCCAGAACTGGCGGCGCGGCACGCCGAACACGAGCTCCTGACCGTATGCCACCACAGCAGCCCAGGCAGCGCTCCCGTCCGCAACACGACTGCACTGTTTGCCAGCGCTCCACGAGCCTAACCCCGAAACTCGCGCCTCTCACACCCAAGGGCTGAGCTGCATGCCATCCCTAAGGGCCGCCCAGCCCCAAGCGTGGGCCCTGAGGCCCGCCGCCAGGGTGAAACCTTATACTACGGAAACTGACAGGGTCTGTCACCCTTCTGTGCCACTGGCGACCGATGACGAAACAACAACACGCACTCAAACCTATAGGGAGGGGAGAAGGGCAAGGATATGAAGGCGCTACAAGTATTGGTGCGGGCTGTCGGACCCCAAAAGGGGCTCCCGTTCGAGCGGGGACCCCCATCCGACAATACTCAACCATAGCCCCCCACGAATTTCCACCCCGAGAAGGTCGCATAGGTATGGGTGCTGGTTCTCAACTCGTGAACCGAGGTGGGCACCGCACGTCCGATTCCAAAAACCCTGAATCAAATAATGTTGACGTCTCGCTTTCACTTCTGCCGACTTCGGCCGAACTTCCGGCGGCTTCCACTGGTACGCCCACCACCGTCTTACTTCCGCTGGCTTCCGCCGGATGCGAAGATGAGCCGAAGGCAAGACCCTTTCTGGAACGCCTCCCCATGTGAACACTACTCTAAGCGTGAAGACGGCGGCGTTGGTCTGTGATACCGCGGCTGTCCGATTGCGCGGATCGTTTCATTCCGGCCGATTCCAAACGACTGGCGGCGTTCAAGCTTGAGCGAACGTCCGGGGTCACCGTTGCATCAACACGCCACGAAAATACCGTACTCTGGGAGGTCAAATTTTTGGAATACCGGCAGAGGTCAGAATCTGAAGGACGTCTGTAGAAAAAATATCCCCAACAAGGGTGCCCGATACCCAGGGCGCCGCTTGGACCCGCAGGAGGGTTTGGAAATGGTCGCAGACGAGGGGCTCAACCAATGACCAGGGCGGACAAGATAACGATGCTTTTTCGAGGGGCCGTCTGTTCCGTCATGCCTCTATCTGCGTCTAATCCGCGTCGAGCTCATGCCGAACATCGAATCCGCGCCGAATCCACGTCGACACCGCGTCGAATCCTGGCCGGACCAGCGCTGAACCCGCGTTGGACACGGGTAACGCCCGCCGTTTGCAGGACAGCCCATGAGTCGAAGATACAACAGCGAAAACAAAAAAGGGTGAGAAGAGGCGGAGGAGGAGGAGGAGGAGGAGGAGCAGGGAGCAGGAGCAGGAGCAGGATGAGGAGGATGGCGCAACCGGCGACCACAGTTGCACAGCCTGACTCCTGGTGGCATGGCGAGGAGGGCAGTCTCGCTGCCGGGGCAGGACCACTACGGCCGCTCCCAGGTCTCCCGACACGGCCAGAGCTGCCTGGAAACGCGCCATGCGCAGGGCCTGCGCGCCAGGACATGCACGAGGGCCGATCGCCAGGGAGGCACGTGGCCACGCACGCGTGTGCATCTGGCATCGCCCCGGCCGGCCGCGTCGTCTGTCTCCGGCTTCCTGGCAGGGAGCTGGCTCTGGACACAGACATCGCGGTGGTGATGCTGCTTCCGGTGGGGGCGAATTCCCAATGCCGTTTGCGGCCCTAGCCCGCCTGTGGAGTTCGGACCTCACGTTCTCTCCGCTGCGCCGCCGGCCTCCTCGTTCGTTGCTGCTTTCGTTCCCCCTCCCTCGCCCTCCCTCGTCCTCCCCCCTCTTCCCATTGCTGCCGCTGCTGCTGCGCAGCCAGCTGCATGTTGCTGTCCTGAATTTGCTGCTCCTGCCGCTGGCAACAGCTGCTGTTACTAGTGCTCACGTGTCCATTCCATTTCGGCACACCCTCACACGGATCGCATCGCATACGGAGCTCCCCCTACGGCCCCACATGAATGATGTCGGTGCCCCATAGCGAGTTCTACCTACAGCTACGGTTGGGAAGCTCGCGTGCAGTCCTCCCGCTCATGGAGGGCGAGGAGGGGTAGGAGGACGAGGCGTAGTGAGTAGTCGAAGAAAGACGACGACGGCTGCGACGACTCCGAAGATCACGGCAACCGCTGCGGGCACGAAAACGACGACGCCACCGCAGCCGCCGCTGCGAGGGCCTCCGAGGGCTGCCAGAGGGACCGCCGCGCAGGGACCGCTCCAGACCGCGGGCGCTCCGACAACCTCGACGCGTGCCTCCAAACCTGTCCTCGGGCCGCACGAGAGGGCGATGCTGCACGCATGCAGCTGGCTCGGGCCCCGTCGCCGAGCGCCCGCCTGGACACGGTGGCCCCTCCGGCCGGGGAGGGGGGGGGGGGGGAAACGCAGGGCCGGGCGGCGGGGCCCCAACAGTTGCTCCCCCCTCCTCCCGACGTCGGCCGACCCGACCCCTCCAGCTGTTCCTCCCGAGAGGCCAAAGGCGGCGACGAGCCGACCACCCCAGAACCTTCCGTCGAGGCGCCGGCTCGTCTCTGGCTGGGGCTTACTGGGGCTGAACTGGGGCCCCCGGGCGGCCATTGGGGGAGATGCGGGCAGCCCCAGAGCGCCCTCGGCGATGCGCAGCTGCTGGGGAGCATCCCGAACGGACACGTCCGAAGACCTGAGCCCCCGAAGGGCAGGGCCCCGTGGGACTCTGACAAAAACGTGCGATGATGCCGACGGGGCTTCTGATGCTGCCAACGGGGCTTTGCAAATGAGGCCCCCGTGCTGCTCGATCCTGCTAGGCGGCTGCCGCTTCCGAAAGCATGACGTCGGAGCGCCCAAGAGAACTGCGGCCGCGGGCCGAGACATCACCCACTCGCTCTTCGTTGCTTCCGGGTGGGATTCAAAAAGTCGTGGTTCCCGGTAGACGACCCAGACCTCCTCGCGTTGTGAAAAAAAACATGACGGGAGATTGTTCGTCATTTTCGCCCTCCGGGGGCCCTTACCAGGCTTCGGGACCGTCAAGAAACGACTCAGGATGAAAATCCGGTCCATGGGAATGGGTCCAGACCTCTGGGGGTCGACGTTGCGAAAAAATCACGACGTCGGGGGTCTGGAGAGGAGCCATACATCCGAGGCCTGGAGTTTTCCAGGCCATCCTGTGTAGAGTTGGGTCTTCGTCTTGCATGAGCCGCGTCTCCTCGCCCTCCTCCTCCTCCTCCTCCTCCTCCTCCTCCTCCTCCGTCTCTTCCTCCTCCTCCTCCTCCTCCTCCTTCTCCTCCGCGTCCTCCTCTCCTCCTCCTCCTCCTCCTCCTCTCCTCCTCTCCTCCTCCTCCTCCTCCCCCTCCTCCTCCTTCTCCTCCGCCTCCTCCTCCTCCTCCTCCTCCTCCTCCTCCTCCTCCTCCTCCTCCTCTCATCCCTTGCCTCTGCCCTCCGCAGGTCTCTGCTTCGGCGTACCCCTCACACGCTCCGTGGCCCCATAGGCAGCTCCAAATGAGGCCCCAGTGCGCCCGCATGCCGCCGGCCCCCACTTTGGCGCACCCCCCACACGATTCGTGGCCCCATCGGGAGCTCCACCCAGGGCACCAGTGGTTACGCCCGCATGCCGCTGCCCCCCCCACGATTCGCGCACCCCTCACACGATTCGTGGCCCTATCGGGAGCTCCGCCTAAGGCCCAAGTAGCTGCGTTCGCATGCCTCCTCCAGACCATGTCGGCGCACCCCTCACACTTCGTGGCTCCATATGGAGCTTCACCGACGGCCCCAGTGGCAGAAATCGCATGCGTGACCGCGCCCGTGACGGCACACCCCTCCCACGTGGCCCATAGGGGGCTCCACCTGAGGCCCTATTGGCAGGAATCGCATGCGTGACCGTGCCCATTTCGGCGCACCCCTCGCACGTCTCGTGGCCCCCTAGGGAGCTCCACGAAATGCTGCATCGGCAGGAACCGCATGCGTGACCGGGCCCATGTTGGCACACCCCTCGCACGTTTCGTGGCCCCACAGGAGCTCCACCAAAGGCCCTGCCGCCTGCTGCTCCAAGACCGCGGCCTGCTGGTCCCCAAGGCCGGGCCGACAGACGCTCAGATCAGCCGTGGCGGGTTGAATCCAGACGTAACCCGTTGCGTCTGACCCCTGAGATCCTATCAGCAACGTCGCTCCGTCCTTCTCACGAACGCTTTGATTAATCCTTTTGCTAGCCCCCTACCTTAGTTTCCATTTGTCTTGCGGCACTCGCAGCTTCATATGGTTGGATCCTTCGCCAGGCTAATTTCAATGTGCGGTCCCCGGAAGTCCTGACCCTTTCCCTTGTCAGGATGGCTTCTTGTCACGAGCCCAGTTCGGGATGAAACGCCATCAAGACCATGAAAAGGCGGCGTCTTGTCACGTCCTGGCGTATGGCGAGGGCTTCTGGAAGCCGAAAACGGCAAGAAAGCGCCAGTCGCGATGTTTTCACGACGCGAGCATGTCAGGGGAAGGCACGTCCGGGAAGGGCTGGCGGGGGTTTGGAGGCCAGCGGGTTGAACTGGATGGGCCCCGATAAAATAAGTCAAAAAGGAAGGGTCGTAAAAGGCACTAATCAACTCAAAAACGGTCCCTGGACCACTCCCGGTGTCCATCTGGGCCGAAAGTTTCACCCCGAATCTGCTTTCGAATGTCTCGGGGCCCGAAAACGGCCCCCGGATGCAGAGAAACACAAAAACCCTTCTCGAACCCAAAACCCCGAACCTCGCCCACGTTCCTGCTGGCCGGAACCAAGTCTGGGCCACCTCTGACCCCCAGCCGGCTCCAAGGCGGGGAAGGGCATGCCTGGGAAGGGCATGTCTGGAAGGGGCTGGCGGGGGAGGTCCGAGTAGATGGGGTTGGAAGATCGCGGCGCATCGCTGTTGCATCGCCGACACATCGGCGATGCTTCGGCGACGTCGGCGGAGCATCGGCGACGCCAGCGTGGAGAACATCGGGATCCACATCGAGCAACACGGGCGATGTATCGGCAATGCATTGGCGTTGCATCGGCGATGTGGCGCGATCCTTCGAACCCATCGATTTGGACCCTGGGAGGCCCAGAATCGGAGGCGAGCCCGGGGGGAAGTGAGAAGGGGCGGGCCTTCTCAGAAGGCTCGGAAGTCCGCTCGCCTTCTGAGAGGTGTTCTGAACCCTCCCCGAAGACACAGGATGCTTCTCAGAAGGCCGGAGCGCTTCTGAGAAGCCCCGCTGCCTTCTGAGAAGGCCTTCTCCATCTCACTTTCCCCTCTCGCTCGCCGCCGACAGAATACCTGGGGAAACCAAAAGGTACCGATACCACTGCTCCCCGGACACTCGAGTGCGTCCTAACCAGAACTTCGAGGCGGATCCAGAGGTGGCGACGAGGGCCTCCCAGGAGACCCCGAGAGGGGAAAACGAGGGACGGGTCGCGGTATGCGTACCTCTTCCTTAGACAGGCGCGTTACACTACTCGCAAAGTGCCTACTCGCAACTGGCCTGGAGCCGCCGCGGGGGCTCTGCGATCCATAACCTGAGGGCACGCGTGTGCTTTTCTTCGGACGTTTGCGTTTCTTCGGGGTTGAGCTACACGGGGGCTCAGGCATTTCCTCCATCTACCCCCGTTTGCTGTACCCCCGTCTACGGCGCCCAGGGCCCCCTGAACTGGGGGCATGGCCAGACGTGGAAATCCGCGTTCCCCGTGCCCCCGTTTGCGGTGCCCCCGTCTCTGGCGCCCCGACGACAGGCCGCGCAGCTCCTGCCGGGCGTGCGCGGCGTGCGCGGCGTGCGGGGCGTGTCGCTCGGCGACCGCTCGGTCAGGTGGCCGGGGGGCACGGGGCGGCGCGGGGTCGCGGGCGCCAGCGCGCGGGCGCTCTGGCTCCTGCGCAGCAGGGGGGACAACGACGACGACGACGACGGCGACAGCACGACGACGGCGGCGGCGACGACGGCGGCGACGGCCACGACGGCCACGACGGCCACAACGTCGACGGCGGCGACGGCGACGGCGACGGCGACGGCGACGGCGAAGGCGACGACGACGGATGCGGCCAGGGAGGTTCGAAGTTCGGGGGTCGAGCTGCTGGCTCTGGGATCCGGGCGCTGCATAAGTTTCTGTTTTGCACCAAGCGTTTGCGCTCTGTTTCGGCCCCCCCGGCCCTCACAGATCGATGCGGCTCGGAAGCATACGCAAACAAATGGGGTCTGGGGCTCCCGTCACGTTCTTCCGCGATGCTGCACTTTCTCGCGCCGTCGGATCTCAGAGTGGGCGCTTTTGGGCCTCCTTGGACCTCCCAAGGGCTCTTCCCCGCTCCGGCCAGATCCGCCCGGAGATTCCGATCAGGATGGGTCCTGGGGTCGTCTTCCTGCGTGCGACGCGTCCCTGACCCAGGCAATGAAACAGAAAGTCTAGAAGTCCTCCGTGAAGAACGCTTGCTTCCCAACTGATGGGAAAAGGGGCTCCACGGCGCAACAGCGGAACCGGCGGGCGTGTTCGTCATCTCCGGCCTCTCGAGGCCCTTCCTAGGCCCCGGGGCCGTCAAAAAACGGTCTGGCGACGGATGTCCAGGTGGACGGGCCACGCCCCCCTGGGACCCCGGCGCCCCATTGTTTCCCGCGCCTGGGCGTTTGACTCGGGCCCTGGGGGCTCTCGAGGATCGACGATCTGGCTCGCGAGCAGTGCCGCAGACATTGGGTGTCGCTTCATGGGGGGCGATCAAGGAGGGGGGAAACAGCCCGAAAGGCTCCCCTTTGGGGCCCTCCAGAGGGACCTTTTCTGCCGCCCTCGCTGCCCCCACATTGATCGCCCCCCCCCCCCCCCCCCCCCCAATTACGCGAAACCCAAATACAGAGGATATCCGAGGCTCTGGTAGCGGTTTTCAGCGAGGTTGCATGTTCTCGTGAAGTCGGACCAAAGGGAAGGGGGGGGAAGGGCGCACAGCCGCCAGCCCCGACATCCGACGACATGATTTGTCCAAGTCGCGATCAGGAAGCCTGGACCCCCTCCCCAAAGTTAATTCCCAGACCCCCTCGGGTATTGAAAAAAAGGTCATGACGGGAGTTGTTTGTTTGGGGATTTTCTGCATCTTGGGGCCCTTACCGGCCCTGGGGACCGTCGAAAAACGACTCAGGATGAAAAGCCGGTCCATGGGTCGAGACCTCCAAGGGTCGACGCAATGAAATCAGGACGTCGGGGGGCTGGGTTGTTCGCCGCCGATCCGTTTCTCAGCGTCCTGGGGTTAGACTGGGTCGACTGCGGCAAACGCGACCGCCTTGGAATCTCCCAAAAAACTTCCCGCGAATCCCCGCGAATCCCGAATCTCCAAATGATCAGCTGGCGAATCTCCAGCAAACCTTAGCGCCTTACAAATATTCTGGCGAATCTCATCTCCAACAAATCTTCGCGGCTTGAAATTCATCGCGCCGTAAAACAACTCAACCGACACCTCAGCCACAGATGTTGTGAATAGTTGCCAACGCGATTCATGGGCTTTCGGCGCGCCGGAGATGTCCTAAAGATGTGCAGGACATTTTCCTTAGCCTGGACGCCAGTGATTCTCCACACGTGTATGTATATAAATATATGTGTATACATATATATATATATATATATATATATATATATATATCACTCGTGCTTCCGCGCTGCACAGTGCTCATCGACTTACTGTACAGCCTTGTGAGTTGAAAGGAAGAGCTCCCTCGGAGCTCGGGCACCGTCCTCAGCCGCTTCTGGCAGCGACCACTTTACAGCAGGTAGCTTCGCTTGAATGTTAAAAGTGTGAAAGGCTATGACTGTGCGCTCAAGAGCTAAACGCTGAGGAAGCTCATCTGGTTCTCCGCTGCAGAGGCCTAGACGAGCAGGAACTGACTGTGGTGCGTACAATCGTGAATGCCAAACCGTGCACACAGCATGCCACAAGCGCGAGCAATGAACATAGTGAGACATGGACTCAAGAGCGCCTGGGTCCTCGCATTGGAGGCAGCCTAAGACGCACGGGCTGCACGCGTCGCTCGTGTGGAGGCGAAGGCTCGTAGCCCACCCACCCACCAAGGTCTTCAGCAGGGCAGAATGCGCAGCAGGCGAAAAATCCGAAACGAGCAGCTCTTTGAGCGGCTCCCATTCAATCTGTGAGAGCGTGAATGATTCATCTGCAAATGTCCAGGAGTTGAGACGAGCGAGGAAGGCGACAGGGAGGCGATCAGGGAGGAGCGAGGAGACAAGGTGGGAATGCACAGAATTCTGCATGCGCAAGCGAGCATTGGGGCGTGCGGCGAGGAGGCGACCCTTTTTCCGCTTTCCACTCACTCAGAGCTGTGCCACACGCCGTGGCCAGTGCACGATTCTTCTCACTGGGGAACCCCAGCGCCGCCTCCTCGAGCGCGTGGGCGATCGGCTTCGAGTTCCAGTGCAGTGGGGCGAACAGGCCGAACGCGCGGCCGTGGAACGAGAGACCCGTCTCCGCCGCGTCGCGCAAACGCCGTGCCCATAACGGCCAGTTCAGCACCGAGTCAGCGGCACTGCGCATCAACGCCGCACGGTTGTTCAGATCAAGGGAGACCGCCTTCAGCGATGTCCAACGTCCCAGCGCCAGTATATCATCTCGGGGTAGAGCTCGAGGAGGCAGGTGCCAGACACGATGTAGCGCCCAGCTTTCTTTCTTCTTCATCTTCTGCGGCCGCACGAAGAGCTGGCTGAGGTGCGAGGTCTTGCTCGCCGCGCGCTGGTTGTACAGCATCAGCGAGGTACTGGTCGGGGCTCCGACGTCGGCGATCATGTTGGTGGTCCGCTGCCAGCCCAGGATTGCATGTCTACCTGTGCCAGTCATCAACGCTGGGGCCCATCAGCACACCAAGGTACTCAGCCATGTCCGTGATCGTCATGCCACTCCAGCGGGGTACGAGCTCAATGATCTTGGCGCGCACCCTGTCCTCCACAGCCGGGGTGAAAGCTTCCGCCAGAGGGATGATCTTGCACTTCGCCGTCTTCAGCACGAGGCGCGCCAGCAGCTCCGCCGCGTAGAACACACTGCTCATGGGGCGAAGCATCTTCAGCGACGGGAGCACGCTGCCCACGTCGTCGGCGCAGACGCCAGTAACCGCACCCTTGAAGTTCGACGTCCGCGAGTGCATGTCCCTGATCAGCGGGTCCATGCCAACAGCCCACAGCGTGCCCGACCATGGACACCCCTGGAGGCTGCCTGGGGCGAGAGCACAGAAGACCTCCATGGCGCCCCAGAGGTTGGTGAAGGCGACGGGCAGGAGGTAGATCGCGTCGATCATGTTGCGGATGCCCTCTGGAAGGCCAGCAATCTCCAGCGCCATGTTGAGCCAGGTCCTGCACATCGACGGGAACGCGTCGCCGAAACCGTAGAGCACCATCAGCGGGTCCTTATCCGTCGGGTCGTCTTGCATGGCCACAATGCGGGACTGTGCATCCATCGCCACCACGTGTTCTATGAAGCGCCGCTTCGGGAGGAAGCCTTTTCTGCGCACGATGGGCACCTTTCGCGACGATCGGCTTCATCAACTCGTTGCCCAAGGCAACCACTATCTTGCAGTCCGTGTTCTTCAGGGAGAGGGGTCTCGTAGCACTGGCCAATATGAAAGCGGTGAGCCCATCATCAGGTTCCGATCCTTTTGGGGTGAAGATCGTGAGCGAACCGTTGAAGTCCAATGTATATATATATATACACAATCGAAAGATTCCAACACTGCGGAGATTTTCCGATGATTTCCCCGGAGATCTGCAAAGCCCGAAGATTTGCTGGAGATTTTCGATCCTGGAGGCTTTCCAGAGATTCTGAGACTGCTCAGTGCAGATTGTCCTAGAGATCTGACCAACAAAAAATGCACCCAGAGGGCCCAGGTCGAGTTTGCCATACTGGCCCAAACTAATCCTGCGTCCTGGTGAGAGAAGGCCAAGCATCCTGAAGGATGCGTGGGCTGGCAAGGACACTCACGGTTCCTGCCGTAAGTCGCTGCGACTAACTGAACGCAAACGGCCAGAATACAAAGACCGGCGCCAGGGCGGTTTGGACGAACCAGCCCGAAAGGAGTAGGAGGAGGAGGAGGAGGAGGAGGAGGAGGAGGAGGAGGAGGTGGAGCCACTCCCGAGGCCGCCTGCTTAATCACGGAAGCGCCGCCGCGCAGGCCTCCAGAAACCTATGCGCGGCGGGAGGAAGAGGAGGAGGAGAAGAGGAGGAGGAGGAGAAGGAGGAGGAGGAGGAGGAGGAGGGGGAGGAGGAGGATCAGGAGGAGCAGGAGAAGGTCTGTGTACACCCAAGAGTCATCAACGATGTTGGAACAACCCCTCCCTCCAAGCTCCCTCTTCATAGGCCCCATACAGCGGTTGATTTCCACTGAGGGAGCTGCCTCGTTGGAAGACTACCGCTTGAAGACCCTGAAACATGCCAAAACACTGTTCTCGGAATCCGAACGCCACGGATCAACCTGACTGTTGCGACTTGATGACCCTGAATCGCGCCAGAACGCCATTCCTGGGACTTCAACACCGCGAACCAACGTAACTGTTGCATCCTCGTTGATCATGAACCCTTCCAAAACACAACGTACGAATCCGTGAAACTCGTGCAACAAAAAATATGCGCGGCGCGCGCCGCTAAGTTGAGAGCCGCATTTTGAAAAAGAACCGCCCTCAATCCGTGAAGCTTTCGCACATTTTTTTTTTTTAAAAAAAAAGAAAAGAAAAAAAAGAATGCACGCGGCGCTGAAGCGAGAACCACATTTTGAAAACCAACCGCCGTCAATCCGTGAAATGCTGGCGAATGTTTAGAACGAGTGCACGCGGCGCTGAAGCAAGAATCACATTTTGAAAACCACCCGCCGTCAATCCGTGAAACTCGGGCGAATGTTTAACACGAAAATGCGCGACGCTAAGGCGAGAGCCACATGATGAAAACCACCCGCCTTCAATCCGTGAAACTCTTGCGACTGTTTACAACGAATGTGCGCCGCGCTAAGGCGAGAGCCGCATTTTGAAAACGGCCCGCCCTCCATCTGTGGCACTGTTGTTAATGTTTAAGCTTCAGGGTCATAAATGGTGAGGAAGTCTCGGGCGAAACGCCAGGACCGCCCTAAAAACTGGCCTGGCCTCGGGGCGTGACAGGGAGAAGATATGTTGAAGGAAAAGGAGCGGAGGAGGACTTCGGAGGAGCAGGGGGAGCAGGAGGAGGAGCCCAGCCTCCTCGCGCCGTTGCAGATCAACACGGCGCTAAAGGGCTCTGCCAATCTTCGGCCACCAGGAGCCCTTACGGGGCCCCGGGGCCGTCAGGGACGATCCGAACTTACGGACGGTGTATTGGGAGGGTCCTGAGAGTCTTGGCTCAACTTTTGCTCAAAAACGCTCCCAACTCTCCTGTGCGAATTGGGCCCTCGCCCTGAATCCGCAATACGTGTTGAATCCTCTCTGCGAGATGTTCCCACAATGGGAAGCCGAAGCTCTGCAGCCAGCCCCAGAGAGGGGAGTGGGGCAGGTGGGGGCGGAGGCGCACGTTCCTTCCCCGACCCCGTGGGCCAAGAGCCCCCCTGCCTGGCCCAGTGTGGCAGGGAGGTGGTGTTGAGGCAGAGTTGAGCAGGGACCGGCCGTCCCGGCATCCCTGTTGGCCTATCACGAGATGTTCTTAGAACCCACAAATGTTCCAAGAACAGATGTGTTGTAACAAAACAGCTTCAGCCAGAAATGCTCTAAGAGCATTTCGCGCAGACCACAAGCGGCTCTTGGAACATTATGAGGTGATCCTCTCGCTAAAACAAAACGTTTCGCCAAAGCTTGAGGCACAGGGCCGCTGGCGGCAGGGTCCTGCCGGCCTTGCCCGCGCACAAGCTCGCCCTCGTGTTCGGGCGGAAGGTGCACTCCTCGAGCTCGTGCTCCTCCTGGCGCGGTGGGGTTAAGGGGGGGGCCGTCCACGGCGGCTCGGCGCAGCCTGAAGCCGTCGCGCGCCGGTATCGACCGACGAAACCCGAATCTGCAGGAGGCGGCCGAAAAGGAAGCAACGGCGCGCTCAGCTGCCCTGGTACGCAACACGCAACACGTAGCGTATTGATACAGCGCTCATCACGTAGACTGAAACCGAACCGGATCAACCACGCCAAGATGTACGACTGCTCCGTGTGGGCATCGGGTCTCTGAGTATTCGGCACCGAATCGAATCGAACCCGTCGAACTCGAGATAAATTCGGATCGGTCAAATCGGAATGGGCCCTGCAGGAGGGCGACAGGTGGCGACCGAACATCAGACATCGAGATTTCCACACCTGCGTCGTGATTTCCCGCAAAGCTTCGGAAGTCTAAACACACTCCCTGGGACCAGTTTTTCATCCTGTGTCTTCTGTTGACGGTCCTGGGACCCAGTAGCGGCCTCCAAAGGCCGAAATATTATCAAAAGCCTTCCGTCACGTTTTTTCCACGACGCGAGGGGGGCTAGCGATTCGTCGTCTTTGGGCAGTTGTGGCCGTGTTCGAACCTGACGAAGTGCAGACGCGCGCGTCGTCGCGCGCGTATGCCGGAATCCTTCAAAACCCATCGGTTTCGGAAGAATTTCAAAATCGTGTGTCCAAACACAAAAAACTACAAAAACACAAGGTTTCGCAACACGGATTTTCAACAAGAGCGTGCGCGCGCGCTCTTGCGTCGTGGTCGTCGTCGTCGTCGTCGCCGTCCTCCCTCCTCCCGCGTCGTCGTCGTCGTCGTCGCCTACGTCGTCATCCGTCTTTCCTCGTGTTCGTCGTCGTCGTCCTCTTTGGCGTCGTGGTCGTTTCCGTCGTCGTTGTCGCCGTGGTCGTCCTTCCTCCTCCTCCCTCGTCGTCGTCGTCGTCCGTCGTCGGCGTCTCGTCGTCGTCCCTCCTATTTCGTCGCCGTCGTCGTCGTCGTCGTCGTCGTCGTCGTCGGCGTGGTCAGCATCGGCGCCGTCACTGGCTGCCCCGTCGTCGCTGTCAGCATCGCCACCAACATTGCTACTATCATCATCGTGTCTGCCGTTGTCGGCGTTGCCATGGTCCCGCGCCCGCCCAAGTCGCCGACTCGCACTGAAGTGTCCGCTGGGATGGGTCGGGCGGTCAGGGCCACCGCATTCGCGTCGGCCGTGCCAAGCTCGCTGGCCGCTGCGCGCGCGAGAATGCGCGGCCGCAGAGATGCACGATATGCACTAGCCAGCGCCCAGCACTCATCGCAATCGCCCCCGCATGGGATTTACAAACCAAACAAATTGCGAGTGGGTGGGTGAATGATTGCGCGAGCAGTGGAGACAACTACGAGTTCGGCAAGCGAGTTCCACCACATCGATTGCACCGCACATATTGCATTACATAGGCTGCATCGCGTACTTTCTCCTTTTCTAAAAGAGAATAGACTCTACCCCCCCCCCAGCATTATCGGTCCCCCTTTTCGGGTATGTAAATCATATATAATTCTGACCAAATGTCCATCCTAAATATGAAATCACAATGTGCCAGGCCAGCCGGTATCTCCCCCCTGAGGATCCCTGGTAACAAAAAAAAAAAAAAACAAAAAAAAAATGCCGTCCACGGCGGCTCGGCGCAGCCTGAAGCCGTCGCGCGCCGGTATCGACCGACGAAACCCGAATCTGCAGGAGGCGGCCGAAAAGGAAGCAACGGCGCGCTCAGCTGCCCTGGTACGCAACACGCAACACGTAGCGTATTGATACAGCGCTCATCACGTAGACTGAAACCGAACCGGATCAACCACGCCAAGATGTACGACTGCTCCGTGTGGGCATCGGGTCTCTGAGTATTCGGCACCGAATCGAATCGAACCCGTCGAACTCGAGATAAATTCGGATCGGTCAAATCGGAATGGGCCCTGCAGGAGGGCGACAGGTGGCGACCGAACATCAGACATCGAGATTTCCACACCTGCGTCGTGATTTCCCGCAAAACTTCGGAAGTCTAAACACACTCCCTGGGACCAGTTTTTCATCCTGTGTCTTCTGTTGACGGTCCTGGGACCCAGTAGCGGCCTCCAAAGGCCGAAATATTATCAAAAGCCTTCCGTCACGTTTTTTCCACGACGCGAGGGGGGCTAGCGATTCGTCGTCTTTGGGCAGTTGTGGCCGTGTTCGAACCTGACGGAGTGCAGACGCGCGCGTCGTCGCGCGCGTATGCCGGAATCCTTCAAAACCCATCGGTTTCGGAAGAATTTCAAAATCGTGTGTCCAAACACAAAAAACTACAAAAACACAAGGTTTCGCAACACGGATTTTCAACAAGAGCGTGCGCGCGCGCTCTTGCGTCGTGGTCGTCGTCGTCGTCGTCGCCGTCCTCCCTCCTCCCGCGTCGTCGTCGTCGTCGTCGCCTACGTCGTCATCCGTCTTTCCTCGTGTTCGTCGTCGTCGTCCTCTTTGGCGTCGTGGTCGTTTCCGTCGTCGTTGTCGCCGTCGTCCTTCCTCCTCCTCCCTCGTCGTCGTCGTCGTCCGTCGTCGGCGTCTCGTCGTCGTCCCTCCTATTTCGTCGCCGTCGTCGTCGTCGTCGTCGTCGTCGTCGTCGGCGTGGTCAGCATCGGCGCCGTCACTGGCTGCCCCGTCGTCGCTGTCAGCATCGCCACCAACATTGCTACTATCATCATCGTGTCTGCCGTTGTCGGCGTTGCCATGGTCCCGCGCCCGCCCAAGTCGCCGACTCGCACTGAAGTGTCCGCTGGGATGGGTCGGGCGGTCAGGGCCACCGCATTCGCGTCGGCCGTGCCAAGCTCGCTGGCCGCTGCGCGCGCGAGAATGCGCGGCCGCAGAGATGCACGATATGCACCAGCCAGCGCCCAGCACTCATCGCAATCGCCCCCGCATGGGATTTACAAACCAAACAAATTGCGAGTGGGTGGGTGAATGATTGCGCGAGCAGTGGAGACAACTACGAGTTCGGCAAGCGAGTTCCACCACATCGATTGCACCGCACATATTGCATTACATAGGCTGCATCGCGTACTTTCTCCTTTTCTAAAAGAGAATAGACTCTACCCCCCCCCCAGCATTATCGGTCCCCCTTTTCGGGTATGTAAATCATATATAATTCTGTCCAAATGTCCATCCTAAATATGAAATCACAATGTGCCAGGCCAGCCGGTATCTCCCCCCTGAGGATCCCTGGTAAAAAAAAAAATAAAAAAGCAAAAAAAAACAACAACAATAAACAACACTATGCGGTGACATTTTTGGTTCTACCACAACACTCGTTCACGAACCCCTTGCAAAACATGGGACCAAATGCGCACGCGCGCGTCGTCGCGCGCGCATGCCGCAATCCTTCAAAAACCTTCCGGTGCCGGAAGGATTTCGCAATCGAGTTTCCAAGAAAACATTCAAAAACACATGGTTTCGTAACATTGATTTGCTGAAAAAGCTTACGCGCGAGCTCTTGCGCAATCTTACGAACACCAAGAAGGTTTTTCAAGATTTTCGCAAAATGCTACCAAACGGGCTTTGCGCGCGCGCATGTCGAAAGCCGTCGAACGCCCTTTGCGCGTGTGACGTCGTGAGAACCCTTTGCAACAAGTGGGACGAAGTGCAGACGCGCGTGTCGTCGCGCGCGTACGCCGAAATCCTTCAAACCCCATCGGTTCCTGAAGGATTTCAAAATCGTGCGTCCAAGAAACCTACAAAATCACAAGGTTTCCTAACACAAATTTTCAACAAGAGTGTGAGCGCGCGCTCTTGCGTCGTCGTCGTCGTCGTCGTCGTCGTCGCCGTCCTCCCTCCTCCCGCGTCGTCGTCGTCGCCGTCGCCTACGTCGTCCTCTGTCTTTCCTCGTGTTCGTCGTCGTCGTCCTCTTTGGCGTCGTGGTCGTTTCCGTCGTCGTTGTCGCCGTGGTCCTCCATCCTCCTCCCTCGTCGTCGTCGTCGTCGTCCGTCGTCGGCGTCTCGTCGTCGTCCCTCCTATTTCGTCGCCGTCGTCGTCGTCGTCGTCGTCGTCGTCGTCGTCTTCCCTCCCCCCTCGTCGTTGTCGTCGTCTGCGTCGCCGTCCTTCCTCCTTCGTCGTTCGCGTCGTCGCCGTCCTCCCTCCTCCCTCGTCGTTGTCGTCGTTGTCGCCGTCGTCGTCCTCCCTATTCCTTCGTCGTCGTCGTCGTCGTCTTTGTTGGCGACGTCGTCGTCGTCGTCGGCGTCGTCGTCGTCGTCGACGTTGGCGTCGTCGTCGCCGCCGTCGTCGTCGTCGTCGTCGTCGTCGACGTCGTCGTCGTCGGCGTCGTCGTTGTCGTCGTCGGCGTCGTCATCGTCCTCGTCGTCGTCGGCGTCGGCGTCGTCGTCGTCGTCGTTGTTGTCGTCGTCGTCGTCGTCCTCGTCGTCGTCGTCGTCGTCGTCGAAGTCGTCGGAAACGTCGTCGGTGTCGTCCTAGTCGTTGTCGTCGGTGTCATTGTAGTCGGTCTTAAGAGGCTTTGCAAAACAATTTGCGGGTGGGTGGGTGTGATGTTTGCAAGAGCATGGGATGTGTCAGATCATGGGTAAAAATCAATTCCACCACGTGGAATTTCCTTTCTAAAGACACAATAGACTCACCCCCCCCCCCGCGTTCGCCGCCCCCCTTTTCGGGTATGCGAATCGAATATGATTCGGGCCATCTGTCCATCCGAAATATGAATCTACACTATCACAGAGGGGCCGGTATCGGTCCCCCTGAGGTTCCCTTGTGGAAAAAAAAAACACATACGCGGGGACATCTTTTGTTCTAACATAACACTTTTTCGCGCATTCCTTGCAACAGATGGGACGAAGTGCGCACGCGCGCGTCGTCGCGCGCGCATGCCGAAATCCTTCGAAAACCTTCGGTGCCGGAAGGATTCCGCAATCGAGTTTCCAAGACAACATTCAAAAACACATGGTTTCGCATCACTGATTTGCTAAAAAAGCTTACGCGCGAGCTCTTGCGAGATCTTACGAACACCTATCGATATCTCCACAACATGCTACCAAACGGGCTTCGCGCGCGCGCATGTCGAAAGCCGTCGAACGCCCTTGCGCGTGTGCCGTCGCGAGAATCCTCTGCAACAAATGGGACGACGTGCAGACGCGCGTGTCATTGCGCGCGTGTGCCGAAATCCTTCAACACACATCGGTTTCGGAAGGGTTTCCAAAATCGTGCGTCCAAAAAACATACAAGAACATGAGGTTTCGCAACACGGATGTTCAACAAAAGCGTGCGCGCGCGTTCTTGTGTCGTCGTCGTCGTCGTCGCAGTCCTCCCTCCTCCCGCGTCGTCGCCGTCGTCGCCTACGTCGTCCTCCGTCTTTCCTCGTGTTCGTCATCGTCGTCCCCTTTGGCGTCGTGGTCGTTTCCGTCGTCGTTGTCGCCGTGGTCGTCCTTCCTCCTCCTCCCTCGTCGTCGTCGTCGTCGTCCGTCGTCGGCGTCTCGTCGTCGTCCCTCCTAGTTCTTCGCCGTCGTCGTCGTCGTCGTTGTCGTCGTCGTCTTCCCTCCTCCCTCGTCGTTGTCGTCGTCGGCGTCGCCGTCCTTCCTCCTTCGTCGTTCGCGTCGTCGCCGTCCTCCTGCCTCCCTCGTCGTTGTCGTCGTTGTCGTCGTTGTTGCCGTCGTCGTCCTCCCTCCTCCCTCGTCGTCGTCTTCGTTGGCGACGTCGTCGTCGTCTTCGTCGTCGTCGTCGTCCGTCGTCGGCGTCTCGTCGTCGTCCCTCCTATTTCGTCGCCGTCGTCGCCGTCGTCGTCGACGTCGGCGTCGTCGTCGTCGCCGCCGCCATCGTCGTCGTCATCGGCGTCGTTGGCGTCGTTGGCGTCGTCGTCGTCGTCGTCGGTGTCGTCGTCGTCGTCGTTGTCGTCGTTGTCGCCGTCGTCGTCGTCGTTGTCATCGTCGTCGTCGTCGTCGGCGCCGGCGTCGTCGTCGTGGTCGGTGTCGTCTTCGTCGTCGTCGTTGTCGGCGTCGAAGTCGTTGGAGACGTCGTCGGTGTCGTCGCCCGGTTGGGATGTGCCCAGCAGTCAGCGCCACCGCGGCCGCGTCGGTCGCACCAAACTAGCTGGCCGCTGCGCGCGCGCTTGGGTTGGCGCGGCCGCAGAGATGGGCCAGCTAACTCCAAACACTCATTGGAATCGTCACCACATGGATTTTGCCATTGCGGGTGGGTGGGTGGGATGTTTGCAAAAGCGTGGGATGTGTCAAATCGTTCGTTAAAATCAATTGCACCGCATAGGCTGCATTGCGTAGATGGCACCACGCATTTTGCACCACATAGATTGCACCACATCGGCTGCCAACAAAAGCAGTGTTTGGGGTCCGCGCTGGCTACCATAAACAGGTATACGCATATCGGTATATGTGTGTGACAACAAGAGGAACATGAGGAGAAAGAGGGGGAGGACGAGGAGAGCGAGACGGCGGAGGAGGAGGACTTGGAGGAGGAGAAGGAGAACGTGGAGGAGGAGGAGGAGGAGGAGGAGGAGGAGGAGAGGAGGAAGAGGAGGAGGAGGAGGAGGAGGAATAGGAGAGGAGGAGGTAGGAGGAGGAGGAGGAGGAGGAGGAGACGAGGAGGAGGAGGAGGAGGAGGGGGAGGGAGAGGGGACGGGAGGAGGGAGGAGGAGGAGGACGAGGAGGAAACAGGAGGAAGAGGAGGCGGAGGAGGAGGAGGAGGAAGAGGACAGGGGAAGGAGGAGGAGGAGGAGATCCTTGAGGGCCCGCTGCTCGAGTAGCCACGACTCACGCGCCGCGGCGTCGCGCAGGAGCCGCTCGTGCAGCGGCTCTCCGGCGCCCCTGGTGTGTGTGGGGGGGCATCTCGGGGAGACCTCCTCCTTTTCCTCCTCCTCCTTCTCTTCCTCCTCCTCCTCCTCTTCCTCCTCCCCCCCCCGTTATCCCCTTTTTTCCCTCTTCCTCCTCCCCCTCCCTCCTCCTCGCCCTATTTCCTCATCCGTTTCCCCCCCCACCCCCAGCGCCTGATAGAGCGCCCCTGCTCCAGAATGGCATGCAAAACCCGCCCCTCCCCCTTCTACCCTTCCCCCCCCCCTCCTTACTTTTTATGATTAAACACCCCCAAACCCCCACCTAGCCGGCCGATAGTAGCCCCGCCGTCCCAACTTTAAAAACAATGCAAACTCCATTTTTTGCTCGCCAGCATGGCGTCGAGGTGCGAAAAGTGTCCCACGAATATGACGGAATGGACATCGCTTGGGTAACCCTGAGCGGGTGGTCGCGTCCTTCCTATCATCCAAAAAACAATACAAAGTCAACGCTTTTCTCGACAGCATGGATTTTCTTGTCGCCGACGCTGCGAACAAATAGCACGAATGGGACGGAATGAACATCGCCTGGGTAATCCTAAGCGGGCGGTCGCGTCCTACCAATCGAAAAAAACAATACAAAGCCAATGTTGTTCTCGACAACGTGGACTTTCCTGTCGTCGACGCTGCGGAAAGTGTAGCAGGAACGGGACGCGGCGCACATCGCGCGCGTACGCCCAGCCAGCGGTACGCGGGACCCCCCGTCCTACCCGCCAGAAAACACCGCAACGTCGACGTTTTTCTTGCCAACATGTGCTTTCTCCTCGGCGGCGCTGCGAATCGCGCAGCGGGAATGGGACGCCCAGCTAATTCCCAAGAGGCATTCTCCTCCCCCTCTCCCTCTCTCCCTCCCCATCCTCCTCCTCCTCCTCCTCCTCCACCCCCTCCCCTCCTCCTCCTCCTCCTCCTCCTCCTCCTCCTCCCCCTCCTCCATGCGCGGCAGGAGAGAAACGATTGGCGGTGCAACACTTTTTGCCCATCGAAGAAGCCCAGCGGCAGAGGCAGCAGTCGAGGAGGGAAGGGGGGGGAGGGGAGGGGGGCCGGGGCGGCACGCGGCCCATGCGCAGGCCGCTAGCCCGGCGGCCCCGGGCGCTGCACCAGGCGCCCGCGCAGCGCCGCGCGCCAGTCGGCCTCGCGGGCCGCCAGCCCGGACCGTGGGCAGGAGCAGCAAGGCTGCCGCCCGCGGCGGCAGCGCGGCGGCCCAGCCCGCGCACGGCGTCGCCGCCAGTCGCGGCCACGCGGGCGCGGAGGCCCCGCAGCGCAGGCAGGCCACCCAGCCGGGGCCCTGCGCGGCGGCGTGCAGCTGCCAAGCCTGCCCCGCGAACAGAGCGGCGCAGCGGGCCCTGCTGCCGCCGCCGCCCGCACTGCCTGGCGGCGCCGGTGCTGCTGAGGCAGCCCCGGCCGCAGGGCCCCGCGGCGGCCCCCTGGCTGCGCGCCGAGCACGCCCCGCCGGCCGCGGCGCCGGCGCTGCGGTCTGCCCGCCCGAGGGGCCACGCCGCTGGCGCTGTGGTTCACTTTCAGCGCCGCCAGCTCCACCTCTGCCAGCAGCCGCTGTGCGATGCAACGCGCGTGGCTAGAAGGAGTCGCGGCGCACTTCGCGCGCTGGACATGTTGCCGCCGACGATGCAACATGAGAGGCCGGAGCGGGGCGCGGCGTACATCGCTTGCGGTCTTGTTTCTCGTCGACGTTGCTCAATACGCGGCAGGAATAGGACGCAGCTCATGTCGCGTGCTGAACGTCTAGCCGCCCAGCCGCCCACGGTATAAGATGAGCGACAGGCGTCGGACGCGACACACTTGCTTCTTATGTTGTGAGTGGGCGGGTGGGAGTGGACGGAGCCCTCTGGCTCGTTCGAGCTGGCTAACTTGACCCCACCCCACCCCCTGAACCTCCTCCCCACCTCTTCCTCCACCAACCCTTGAACCACCACCCACCCCTCCGCACCTTCTCCCCCCCACCGCTTCCCCCCCGTAGCCATTTTGGATCAAGCCATTTGCGTTTGAGTCCGCTGGGGAACCTCCACCAGGCCAGCAGTGGAGAAGTGTCTCGCGCGGCAGTCGGAGCACCTGCCCGTGGCGCAAGAAGTTCTGGGTGACATTCAGGGATCCAGATTTTGCCAGCGCGCCAACAAGCAGGAGGCCGCCAACGTTGAAGCAGCGGCCCCATCGGCGGTGGTCTCGTCCTTCTCGTCCTCACCCAGATCGTGCTAGGTGAAGACTGGCCACCACACGCTCGACCTCGTGCAGAAGATCGTCCAGCTCATGCGCCTGAATGACATGTGCTGTGCAACGATTGGTGGCGGGACCTCGCGAAGAGACTACAACGCCAAAGCAAAGCCAGAAACGTGTTGGCCCAACCCGGCACCACCGTTGAAGCGCAAGTAATCGACTAAATCAATGCCAATAAGTGAAGCTCTACTTCTGAGGGCCCGGCATCACCTGGACCACCAGACATCTCACCAGACCCACCCAGTGCCGAACGTGGCATGCCGATCTTTGCCAAGAAAAATGGTCCCGTTCCCATCGACTCCAAGAAACCGTGCAATCACGAGCGCCAGCTCGCAGAGTTACAGAAAAGGTGGACGGACTTCTTCGACTCACTGAAGGACACGATGGAGCACATCGCCCACCACAGCGACGCATCATAATGCAGATGACGCCCCTCAGATCTTCGAGAAGATGGCGACGGACAAGAACATCAAGGACATCTCAGCTAAAGTGACTGATCTCTCAGCGCAGGTGAGTATGCTCAACGCCGACATGTCGAACCAGAAGGCTGGCATCGAGACGGTGCACCGGTATGTGCAGAAGCTGGGCCAGCCCCTGGGGGCACCCAGCTCTTCTGGTACATAAGCGATGACCGCCGTCTGCTGCCCGTACAAGAGCGGAGGAGGAGGAGGAAGAGGAAGAGGAGGAGGAGGAAGAGGAGGAGGAGGAGGAGGAGGAGGAAGAGTGCCCCAGAACTCCTTCAGCACGGGTTCGAGTCTCCCGAAAATGTCACGTCTCGGTATCCTTCAGGTTTTGCTCGTTCCGCGTGGCGGAGGGCCCGCGTCGAGCCGCCGCCCTGCTGCCACGGACTTTGAACCACCAGCCGAGGGGGGACGGGAACCACATCGAGTGGACATGCTCGCGCTGTGTCTGTTCGAGCCGCTCGAAGCTGCAGTAGAAAAAGCAGCGTGCATCCCCGACCCCGCCAGCAGGTGATGGAACGGTGCCAGATGATTTTTGGCGGCCCTCCAGTCTGGCCTGGCATCGACCCAGTGCCGAATCCAGGACCAATCCGATCCTTTCCTCCCCCTCCTCTTCATGAATGACTCCCCTCTGTCCCCCATCCCAGACGTGCTGTTGGTGCCAGCGGAGCTTTTTGCCCCGTACTCCCCCACCGACTCCAATCTGAAAGCTGGAAATTTCCAACAGCTGCACGGATGCGGAGGACGAGGAGACGAGGAGGACGACGAGGAGAAGGAGAAGGAGGGGGAGCAGGAAGAGGAGGAGGGAGGAGGAGGAGAAGGATGAGGAGGCGAGTTGGATGGAGGGCACACGGTTTTCAAGATTGGGCTCTCGCCGTGGCGCCGTGCACGCTTGCGGCGGCAGAGGACACGAAGTAAACAGAACCTTGGACTGCACTGCACATGCGGGAGACCGTGCTGAACACCACACGGTAAAATCGTACGGGAGACCATACGGACAACGAAACGGGACACAGGTCACAAGGGTGACAATGACGGAGGCCATACATACTGGATACCAGATGACGCACAACACGGGAGATTATACAAAAGACCATACTGGAGATCATACGGAATACTATGCGGGAAGCTGTACAGATGTCCACACGGGATGCTACATGGAAGACCATGCGGGAGACTACGCGACGGGAAATCCGCCGGCCCCCTTGCAGAGCCATCAGGCTGCGAGGATTAAGGTTGCTGCTCCCTGCGCCAGTTCCAGTTTCCAGTTTCCAGTTACAGTACTGCTTTCTGCTTCCTACTGTAAATTGTTACTGTCCGCGCGAGGGGGGGGAGCCGAAAAGGGCCCTGGTTAGAGTCCCCCGGGGGGGTTCTCAGAATTTCTGGGGGGGCGTGGGACACGAACAAATACAGGAGTTTCGTGCCCCCGAAGCCATAACCCCTTGCAAATTACGCTGCATTCGCGCTCCGAGGCCACGATCCTCCGTAAATTACGCCGCGTTCGCGTCTCCGAGGCCACGATCTTTATAATTTGCACCACATGTGCTTCTCCGAGGCCACGATCCTTCGTACATTACTCCGCATTCGCGCCCTCGAGGCCACGATCCCTTGTAATTTACACCGCATCCGCGCCCCCGAAGCCACGATCCCATGTAATTTTCATAACTTTCGCGCCCCCGAGGCCACGATCCCTTGTAAATTACAACAAATTCGCGCCCCTGACGCCACGATCCTTTTAAATTACGCAGCGAGCGCGCCCCCGAGGCCACGAATCCGCTTCGCAGAGGCTGCCGAAAAGGCGCTCCCCTCTCCAAAGCAGAAAAACGGCAATTTTCTGTATTGGGAAATGTGCTCCGCTGGTATTCTTTTCCCCCCCCCCGTTCCTGGAAAATTCGGAGGTGGGTTCCACATTCACTCCGCCAGGCCACGATCCCTCGAAGGTTACGCCACATTCGCGTCCCCGAGGCCACGATCCCGCGTGAATTACGCCACATTCGCGCCCCCGAGGCAACGATCCTTTGTAAATTACGCCGCTGTCGCGCCCCCCAGGCCACGATTCCTCGTAAATTACGCCACGTTCGCGTTCCCGAGGCCACGATCCCCCGCAAATTACACCCAAATTCGCGCGCACCCCCCACGCTGCGAATCTACCTCGCGGAAGCTGCCCAAAGGCGCCACTCCTTCTCCAGAGCAGAAAAAAATTCGCCGGCCCAACGGGCCAGAGGCGTGCTAAGATCTCCGGTGACTGCTTTACAATCTTTCTACTTCGCGCGCGCGGGGCGGCCCC